AATTGTCCCAGAATTCTCGTTTCCATACTACTCAATATCGCTTTACTGCTTGCATATCTCCATTTCCCTTTGGTCCCTTTAGCTGAGTAACGGGTATCTGATAGTCGAGGTACTCAACTATAGCGTTCTCCCTTGTTTTCTTTACTTACGTCTTGCCATAACTCCATCTTTACTCACTCAGATCTCCAAATTCCTTCTACTCTATCACAATTTTAGTTTCAGTTCTTTCCGTTTGAATATAGATGGAGGTCTTGATGAGCTGCTTCCGAGGCCATTATTGTAAAGTGGTCCCGTTTGCGAGTTGAGTTGTCGACGGCGGAATTTCCTGGCCACCCTTTTCGTTTGAGTTTTCTTTTGTTGAATTATTCCTTACTCTATTACAACTTTTCGTACAGCTAGTGAGAGTGTAGCTGCGCCGCCAGAGACGCCGGCAGAGCAACCTTTGATGTTTATGTATACACTTATGGTTTAGTAGCTGCTGGCGAAGAGTCGCCGCGGCAGAGGAGAGGTCTTATGTTCACATGGTTACAGAGCGGTCGCAAATGTCAAATATGCAGACTCAGCACTGCCCAGTCCTAGTGCACTCAACGGTGATCATATTACCGGGCACTTGAAGAACTCTTTGGCCTTGTGCTACAATGTGTTTGTAATAATATAAATGCGTAACAATAAGTACAGTGTGCATTCGATATGTGAACATACTACATAGTTGCAAAATGAGCACAGGGAAAAACAACATATGGAAAATACAATTGTTCAAGCTTTAGATCATCAATCTGAACTTTGTTACGGATATAGGCCGTAATGTCCAGGTCTGAAAGGTCAGGATTGACCCGAGAAACAAAAACAGCGTCTACCGTCGGTTGTCTATCGTCCGCGATCTTTTTACGCTTAGGAGAATCGGGTAGTCAGATAGCATACGGCTAGTGAGCTGCGACTCAAGTGCCACAAGCCGATCCGTATTTCGAGGGCTGTTCCGGATTAATTCCGTAACAGTGATTTTTGTAAGCCGCCTTATAGAGAGTGCCTGGGTGCCTGAATGCATTGCTTTCATAACAATAGTAGCGCAAGCCACTTCTCATGTCGTTTGCATCGCGTACCAGACCCGAATAGCCAAGGGATTTTTCATGAAAAATTTTCTCGCACGAATGGCACGGAATATTCTGTTGTCCAGCTGAAATCAACGACTTGCATTTCTGTAAATAGCAGACAGCCATTATCGCGATATTCCGAACCACAGTGCAAAGAGAATAAGGCAACGCAAGTAAAAGAGAGAGTTAGAGAGCGGGAGAGACTGAGCGGGAGTGAGTAAGCTGGGGCAGCGTAAGTTTTTGATGTTCCAACAGCAAAGTTATATGCGGGAGTGCGGGTAACTACCGTTTATATTTTACCGCTCCAAACAGCGTTTGGAAGAAAAGGACAAGGCAATAAGAAAAAACAATATCAACAAACACTGCACACAGATTTCACGTGCAAACTAACTTTGTTAATTTAAACACAAAACAATTACTACGCACTCGCGAAGCGAACGGATGTTGTTAGGGACATACAAAATTATTAAAATTATTATTAATGTAAGAAAATATGAATTACAACCCGATGGTTTATGGACAAAGGAACAAAAATGCGGAGCGTAAGACAAAAGCACGACCGTTCACTGAAAGAGCGATAATTATATGTTAATGAATATTGTACAAAGCGCAAGACAAAAGCACGACCGTTCACTGAAAGATCGAAAATTATATGTTAATAAATATTGTACAAATATATTAAAAATAAAAGAAGAAAAAACGCAATGGTCGATGGCCTCGACCATTATATACCCGTTACTCGGCCAAAAAGAGTGCGAGGGGGATGGAGTTATGTTTGCTTGTTGCTAGCGCCACCAAGCCTATAACAAGAACTCGTCGTTTGAAAAATATAAACTCGTTGTTTTTTTATAGCGATTTTAAAACGCAAATCTTCAATGGGCCACCCTTCATTAAGGCTGTCCAAAATTTTCAGATTGAAACGTTTGCGACCGCTTTACATAAGAAATTCCTATGGAAAAAGGCCAGGGAAATTCAGGACGTCTCATCTTTTCGGGCCTGACCATCTAAATTTCCCTCGCCTTTTTACATAGGAATTTCCTATGGAATTGTATATAGGAAATTCCTATGGAATTGGATATAGAAAATTCCTATGGAATTGGTTAGGGACAATTTTTTCAAAATATTCTTTATTTAGCTAGTTTTTTAATAAACATCAAAAATTGAAGACTAGTAAGGAACTTTTGGCCACTAAAAATTATTTTAGCCCTTTTTGGTTATTTTTTTAGTCCTGGGTGCATCCCTGTGGGCCCTGTTTGGTGTGGTGCCTGAAACTAGAGCCGTCAGTCCTGGTAACTTCTGTTAAATAAACACTAAAGGTAGTAAAAATAATATTTTTAAAATACAACATTTAATACAACATTATATAATACAATAACAAAATTGTTAGATTAACCATTGTTATTTTCTATTAAACTAATCCGATGCAAAACCAAAATGTTTGTAAACAAAACAAATTTACATATGTACATACATATTCACAAACAACGGCCACACTCGCTACTGTGGCAGGCTGCGCTGGTAACACAAATCTAGTTTTATTTATACATACATATCTACACATATCTACATATATGTAGATCCTATTATACTGTCATATGCTAGAAAAACTACAGTTACCAAGAGTTTTGTTATAAAACACATAAGAAACCGTTAAAAACTTACTTTTTTTTATCCGTCCTATGTACACTTCAACGCAGCACGCCAAATTCAAGTGGTGGAGACGAATGGCAAGTGCATTCGATAGCATTGTTGCATCCCTGATTTGCAATTTAGTGTTTCCTTTTTTGATTTTTATAAACTTAAATTTGTTTTAAACTACTTTTCTTAAACCTACAATTAAAACTCTACCAATTTTTCAATATATTTACCATTATTTGTTTATTGTTTATTTTTTATGCTTTTATAGGTCATTGTATTTATTTGAATTATTATTATTTGGACAATTTAAGAGTTACAATCTGCTTTTGTTTTTATATTTTGACATATTTAAGTATAGTTAAAATTGTAATTTGTTTTACTAGCAACGTTAACATATATACCTATTTAGTTTTTTAAAAGAAATAAACATGAATAAATGAATTAACCTTGAAATGTTTTTAATGTACATATAATGTCCATTTCCATCGCCTTCCGAAAACAACATATCACTGTGGACGGCAGTACACGTAGTGGCGAAGCGCACAAGAGAGCGTGCGAAGACAACTACTATATATAGCCGCAGAATTGAAAATCTGCCATTATTGTCTGATCGTAACGAGTGATACATCAATCGCAAGGTATCGCAAAAACTAAGAAGATTGCATACCAAGACTTTCGAAATATAGATTTGTTTGGGAGAAAAAGCGGTGAAAGTGTAAAAGTAAAAATTTGGAATATTGGATCTGCTGGATACGGTGGGGATAAAAGCCCCCGTCTGTTTAGCTAGTTTTATTCTTACTGAGAATACCTCATTTGTTGAAATCCGATGCCCCGTTCAAAAGTAATTCAAAAAATAAGATTTTCTTCTTCTTCCCAAAATGAAAATGATTGTCCCTTTGCTTGTGGGTTTGTATGCATCCAATCTTAGTCTTAGGGTTTTGGAAACCCTATGGGTGTATATAGTAGCTTGAATTAGAAAACGTTTGTTCTACGACTTTTGGAAAAACCCGCTAGTTTAGCGGAAAATCAAAAAAATATATGTATTCGGCACGCTACAACGGAAAATCTACGTGTAGGTAAATAAATATTAACTGTTGCGGGCCGAACTCATAAATTTAATATAGTTTATTTATTTTATCGAATGTAATATCATTTTTCGTCACAATTGTTGATATCAGAAATTTTTGTTAAAGGCGCGTTCGCCACTACTTTTTACCTCGTTAAGAGGTGTTTTTGTTGGATTGATATGAAGAGGATTTTCCACTTCCGATTGAAAAAGTGGTCCAATTATTTCCTTCTTATCATCATTATATCCGAAAACGTTTAAGCGTATAGGACTATTATTATACCCTTGCAGAGGGTATTATGATTTCAGTCAGAAGTTAGCAACGCAGTGAAGGGGACGTTTCCGACCCCATAATGTATATATATTCTTGATCAGCATGACTACTCGAGTCGATCTAGCCATGTCCGTCTGTCCGTCCGTTTCTCAGTCTCTCAGTTTTAAAACTATCGGGCTGAAACTTTCAAAAAGTCTTATTTTTTTGCAGGTATTATATATATATATATATAAGTCGGAACCAGCCGGATCGGAAAACTATATTTTTTAGCTCCCATAGAAATAATCAAGAAAATTTTTTTTTTTAATTCTTTTCTTTGATGTTTTTAAATTCCTACCCTTGGAAATAACATTCTTTAATTAGTTCTGAGTTTCGAATTTAATTTTATCATAATCGACAACTTTATCATAAAGCTGCCATAGGAACGATCGGAAAATTGGTGGAAAAATATTATGAAACAAATTATAGCTTTAGTGTTTTTTAACATATGACCTCCTACGCATGGAAATGAAATTTTTTAATTAGTCTTGAATTTCAAATTTAATTTTATCAAAAGTGGACGACTATACCATATAGCTGCCATAGGAACGATCGTAAAATTTGTGGAAAAATAATATGAAACAAATTATAGCTTCGGTGTTTTTTGACTTATTATCTTATACTATTGGGAATATCATTTTTTGTATTTTTCATTATTTTTAATTAAATGTAATAGTTATAGCTGCGAGGGTATACAAACTTCGACTTGCCAAAGTTAACTTCCTTTCTTGTTTGACATATTACCTTACACTATTGGGAATATAATTTTTTGTATTTTTAAGAATTTCGAATTCAATTGAATAATTATAACTTCAAGGGAATACAAACTTCGGCTTGCCGAAGCTAACTTCCTTTCTTGTTTCGTAAAAAATTTAGATATTTTATTTCTTACCTTGCTTTCCAGTGATGATATCCACATCGGTTGAAAGAAAATTTTTTTGTAGCCCAAATGCCATCAATTAAACTTTCTTTATGTATAGCATTAAAGTGCGCAATATCAGAACCATTTTCAGGTATTTCCTGAATATGACAGTGAATGTAAAATTCATTGTGTCCATGGTAAAAATATTTTGTTTTAAGCTCTTCCGTAGACAGAGGGAGTTCCCAAGGTATTTCTGTTGGGTCAGTATGATACCAAATAAATATATAGCCGTTCATTTCCTGCGAACTCCAATTTTTCACATTTGATCCTTTTGGAACTGAAATTATTAAGTGTGATAATATTTTTTAAGTAACATGATATGATTTATTTCTTTACGTAATTTTTAAACTATATAATAATATTTTTAAAACGGTTATTAGATAAATTCTTAATGTTTGGCAAGATATGGAAGATCACGAGAACTATATATATAAGTAATATACGAGTATAAATTATATAAGTAATCAGGTCCTGGCGACCTTAAACTTTAAGCTAGCTCTTCGACTTTTTCAATTTAATTTCTATATAAGTTAAGTGGTAATGATTGATATAGCTGTGTACCGATAGTTCTCATTTTTATACCCGTTCATCATACAGTAGGAGGTTATATTAACGTTAAAATATGTCTGTTGCCCAAATTTTTAAAAAATTTTAAAGAGTTTAACTTTAACTATAGCTTTTTTCTTGTTATACTAGATTCTTCAGAAGTATGTAATTGGTAGAAGAAAGCATATATTCTTGTTCAGGACCACTTGCCGAGTCGAGCTATTCAAGTCCGTCACTCCGTCTTAAAGCTAGAAAGCTTGGAATGCAGATTACTAAACTTCTTTCGCAGCGCAAGTTTATTTCAGCAGAGTGCTACGCCCACGTTAACTCCAACAAACGCTACAACTGGTCTAACGACAAATCTTTTGCAGATTTTGGATAAAAGTAAGTGGGATTTTGTTATGATTATCAGTAGAATAGGAACGCCGATTCTGCGACAACTAGCATATGTTGTCTCAGAGGAGATTGCCCCCATCGCCACCACATCCCCACCACATCCCCATGTGACAATATTGATCATGAATCCTTCCCCTCATTATGTGCAATTAATAGTCAGATGAGAAAGGTGCACGTGAGAAAGGTCGCGCAACCATAGTATCCAAAGGTTGTTATCTTAGAGGAACATATGCGATCATGTTGGTGAAAGGTGTGATCACGTACTCTTTTGCCTCATTATCACAGGTGTTGCTGTGCACGTGAGAAAGATCGCACACTCAAAGTATCCAAAGATGGTTATCTTAGAGGAAGATGTCCGATCATGTTGGGGAATAATGTTTTCTATGATTGTAAAACTAATTTAGAAATCAAAAGAACCCCAATAAAATAAATCTCACAAGTTAATGATTCTCAGATGTGGAATATTGTCAAACACTCATTTTTGTTTCCGCCCCAGAACGTTTAACTGGTAAATTGTTTTAGATTCTCTCCTTTTCACAAATCGGTTTCGTCATAAAAGGGATTCAAGCAAGAGCTACCCGAACATGCGCACCTGTCCATTACCTGACCGCAATAAGGGACACATACACAAGCCTGAAGACGCACGCTCATTGACAAGATCATGGGCCTCACGCCAACGACCTCACGGCTGACTGCTAGCTCTAATACGTCCCATAATACTGGTTGAAATCACGACCGCGCAAAAACTCGCAAGAAGCCGACATATCTCAGTCAAGGAAATATTTTCTATTCTCCGTATCTGCAATTTGAACTCGAAATAAAAAGTCTGAAGTTTATTTTGTAGCATAATAATATTCATTTATTTTGGCATTGCGAACACGTTTTATTATATATTGAAAATAATTTTCTGCATTAATTTCGGCGATTTGCATTGAAGAAGCAGGCGCACGTTTCCTACGTCATTTGTGGATTACAATATGTAAAGTGCTTACCATAATTCGTAGTTTTGAAATCATGTTCACCTCGGTTCATGAACGTAGCTATTGTGTTTAGAATGTATTGAAAATGCTGACCATTTATCTATCCTTTAAATTGTTCAATAAATTGGTAAATTTCCTCATGAAATATCATTTTGCTAATTTTGTTTTCTTGTACGTTCTTACACATCTAGTCTCTACTTTAAAATGTTGTATTTAAATTATTTTATTGTTTTGGAGCTACTTTCAAAAAATGTCAAAATTGTGTATGCATTGTTAAGAGCACAAGACCGCCCTTAAGGTGTGTTTCGCAATAAAGAAACCGGTTTCCTTTAAACCTGTTTAATGACGGACAGCTCATTTCCTCCATCTTATTGAGCTGACGTCTCCCAAAAAACGTCTGTAGAAATCGTTTCTTTTTCACACCTTTAGAAATAATTTGCTTTCCGCTTGTAATTGTCCTTAGATATTTTCGAGCTTGTGGATAACTGTTTTCTCCATCGTTCCAAAAAATTTTGTGATTTGTATTGGTTAACCAAATTGCAGTCTTTCGAGATTTTGTATTTAGCAAAGTAAAATCATATGGTGGATCTATTAAAAAACTATTATTCAAGTTTGGTTCTTTTTCGAATACAATTCCAATTTCCTTTAGAATAAAATTATTATTATTATCAAAGAAACCTTGAACATCAATCGAAACAGTATCCTTCAACATTTTTCTAATGTAAAATATCTCGTTGTACTAGTCCGTTTAATGAGTTATATTGAACTAAACGGTCATGTATGAGGAGACAGTAAGTATTTTCATGACTTGGTGTCTTCAGATCTATTGAAATTCTCACATCAATACGACCAGTACTCACTGATTCGTTTGGAAATGAAAGATCAACCACAATAAAAGGGGCCTTCAATTTTAATTTATTTGGGGTCAAAAATGATTGTGATTCACGATTATAGTAACTAGATTGAAATCTTGTATACATTTCATATAGGTGAGCATACTGATTCTTACTAAAACCAACGTTCAGATTATCTTATGGATATGACTCAGAACTCAAGAGAACTTTCAAGTTTGATAAGTTATTTGTGATAAGTACTCCATAAGAGTAAATCCAATTATGGCAAATCTTGGTTCTTCGCGGTTAGCCGACAATTTCACATTCCAGCTGTGTTGACTCCCATACCCCAAGTTGGGGTTAACATATGAATCCCAACTCCGGAATGCGATTGGAAGGTTTACACCATTTTTAATAATATCGTCCATCTTAATTTTTGCAAAATCGCTCGGAGTTACATATCTTGGACGTTGATGCACTATGGTCAGTACAAACAAGTGGCCCTACGACACCAAGCAATGCTTGTTACGCGCGGAGCCCTTTACCGTTTTGGGCGAGTAAACAAAATCGCGGACAAAGAAAAAGACAATGTTATAATAGACAATTAAAAATACAGATCAAAATACGAATAGACAAAATACATCAAGTAAAACTAATTAGTTACTAGGGAGGATAGTATTATTGATTTAAAGATAGGAAGTGAGTCGGTAGTAGATATTAGATGATACAGTCTACAAGTATTATAATCATTGCAAAGTACTCTAAAAGGTTCATGCATTGCATAATTAGAGATACAGTGATCTAATACTAAAGGAATATAGTTTCTAGTGAATCTATTTGGCACATTAAAATGCAGGCGACCCAGTAACTCGGGACTATCTACATCACCATGAATAAGATTTCTAATAAACGTAATATCAAGCATAGTTCTACGATTAGCTAACGATGGTAAGTTAATTAGAAGAAGTCTACTAGAGTACGATGGTAGTATTAGGCTTGTATCCTAGTTAAGTCCCCGTAAGGCAAATATATAGAAGTTTTTTTGCACAGACTCAATCCGGTCTATATGCACCCCATTTTGGGGACTCCGAACAGGAGCGCAGTACTCAAGAATTGGTAGGACTAATGAAATAAACAAGGTCTTTGTGACATAGGGATCATCGAATTTCTTCGACCACCTTTTGATAAATGCAAGCACGCCCCTGGCTTTATTTACCATAGTAGTAATGTGATCAGAAAATTTAAGTTTAGGATCCATATAGACTCCAAGGTCGTCAGCATGCGTTATCCTATCTAACGCACAACCACTCAAAGTATAAGTTGAGTAGAGGGATCCACCTAAGAAGATCACCTGGAAACCCTAAAAGGTCCAATTTCCGGACGAGAATCGGGTGACTTACAGAATCAAACGACTTACTAAAATCGGTGTAGACCACATCAGTCTGACGAGTCTTTCTAAAACCACTTATAACAAATGAAGTAAACTCCAAAAGGTTGGTTGTCGTTGACCTATGTTTTATAAATCCGTGTTGACAAGAGGAAATAAGGGACCTACAACTGTGTTGTAAATGGGGCGTAATAATGTTCTTAAAGAGCTTCGGTATAGCTGATAGCTTTGAAATACCTCTGTAATTACATGCGTTCAATTTACTCCCTTTTTTATGAAGCGGGATAACAAACGATTCCTTCCATCTGTGTGGGAAATCGGATGTTTCTAAAGACAAAGTAAACAGTTTGTGCAATGGTCTACACAAAGTCTCAGCGCAATATCTACGCAAACATCCAGGGACTCCATCAGGACCCGGAGAGTAGACTGGTTTGACCCTTTGCAATTCTAAAAGAAGTGAGCTTTTACTTATAACAGGACAACAAATAAAGTTTGATTTAGGAATGACATATGGGTAAGACTGATCTGGAGGACTTGATGTTGAATAGGTGGTTTGAAAAAACTGTGCAAAAAGATCGGCTATGGCTTGATCAGTGCTAGCAGCCGAATTTTCAAATTATTATAAATTATTATAAATTATTATTATTATCAAAGAAACCTTGAACATCAATCGAAACAGTATCTTTCAACATTTTTCTAATGTTAAACAACTCGTTGTACTAGTCCGTTTAGTGGGTTATATTCAATTAAACGGTATTGTATGAGGAGACAGTAAGCTTGGGTATTTTCATGACTTGGTGTCTTTAGTTCTATTGAAATTCTCACATCAATAGGACCAATTTTTACTGATTCATTTTGATATGAAAGATCAACCACAATAAAAGGGGTCTTCAATTTAAATTCATTTGGGGTCAAAAATGGTTGTGATTCACGATTATAGTAACTAGATTGAAATCTTGTACACATTTCATATAGGTGAGCATACTAATTCTTACTAAAATCAACATTCCGATTATTATGGATATGACTCAGAATTCAAGTGAACTCTCAAGTTTGATAAGTTATTTGTGATAAGTTCTCCATTTAGTGTAAATCCAATTATGGCAAATCTTGGTTTTTCGCGGATAGCCGACAA